TTGCATAGGTTTCCTCTGGGTACTCCAGTTTCCTCCCACACTCCAAAGACATGCTGGTAGGTCAACTGGATCCTGTCTAAATTGGCCCTAGTATGTATATGTAAGTTAGGGACCTTAGATTGTACACCCCTTGAGGTTTAGGGACTGATGTGAATAGTTGAGGTCTACCTATGATGCCAATTACAGGCCTCTCTCATCTTTTTAATTGGGAGAACTTGCACAATTGGTGGCTGACTAAATACTTTTTTGCCCCACTGTATGTACTTTTCCCGCAGCAATGACAGAAATGGGCAGCGCAGTGGCTAAATGGTTAGCACTTCTGCCTGGCAGTACTAGGGTCGTTGGTTCAAATCCCAGCCATGGCACCACCTGCCTGGAGTTTGCATGTTCTCCCTGTGCTTGCATGGGTTTCCTCCCACACTCCAAAGACATGCTGGTAGGTTAATTGGCTCCTGTATGTGTATGTATGAATGTGAGTTAGGGACCTTGTACGCCCCTTGAGGGTTAGGGACTGATGTGAATGTATAATATATATGTAAAGCACTGAGTAAATTGATGGCGCTATATAAGTACCTGAAATAAATCGTTGTTTTGAGCGGACTTACCCTTTAATAAAGAAGCATTCTGCAGTTTTAGCATTTTAAAAATGGATATCTCGGAGACATCTGTATACTGTGTGAAGTCTGCAGATACAACTAACAAAGCAAAAACTGAATTTTATATGAGAATTGGTCTGTAAAGATCATAAAACACAAGGGAAGCAGAGCAGGACCTCTAATTTATGGTCAGTCTGGGAGCGGAGTGTGATAATTGTCCCCAGTATAATATGTCTCCCAGTGTGAGCACTTTATACATCATTTTATGAATTGCAGACATTTTATTTTCTGTCTGTATAGCTCTTACGTTCAGTATCCCCAGCTCACCCCTCCGTCTCTCTTTTCTTGTCCTCATCTGACTCCTCGGTGTGTCCTCACTTCACCTCACATTGATCCGATTGGAATTCTTCAGCACAGCCAGCAAAACAAACCTGAGTATTAGCAGGATTTACTATTATCACTTCTTGAACCAACACTATATACATATCTATGGATCAATGGAGGAGGATTTGTCTGATCACAGATATTTTTCCTTTTATTGATTTCTGTGAATACTGATCAGCTCCAAGTCACTCATGGATAAGGATGTGGGTTTTCTGAGCTGAATGTGACTGTACCTTTCTTTTTGTAATATAAAGATCCCCATTCTGGAGTGTTAGATTTGTGTATACAACAACATATAAGAAGGGAAATGTATTAAGACTGGAGCAGCCAGAGTCTTTATCAGCTGTGCATGGCAACCAATCAGCGTCTAGCTTTCATTTTCACTGCTTAACTGAAGAAGATGAAGGTGGAAGCTGATTGGTTGCCATGCACAGCTGCTCCAGCTGCCCTCCATGTTGTGTATGGCTTGCAGACAGGTCTGATCCCCTACGCCAGGCACATTGATGGGCACCGTGTACCCCGGGTATATTTTTAGTATCTATCTCCATGCAGCGTGCTACTCTCTGACGGTTTGCATTGTTTTGCTTGGTTTAGCAGTCTAGACACAGGAATGTACCACTTTCTCAGGGTTTCAGGGGTGTCAGCATTTTGATACCAGCCGTACAATTCTTCATAGACCTTCTTCTTTCCTGATCCTATAATATTCCAGCATAGACTTGTATATTTGGTCAATATTGGGTTTATTGATGCCTTCCCTGCAGACTGTTCTCTGGATCGGATGGAAACCGGTTCAGTTCGCTCCCCTCCTCCACTTTGGTCCTCATCACTCTGTCCCGACGTGGCCTCTGATCACTTGACAATATCAAAGCTATCAGCCTATGAGCAGCCGCCGGTGAGAGCCATCTTGGCCCTGATTGGAGCGGCGGGGCGGTGACGTACACGGATGCGGAAGAGGGGTTGAGTCGGTGTGAAGCTGCGGCGTGCAGACAGATCAGGGGAGAGGTGAGGGCAGGAGAGGAGTCCCGGCAACGGGGGGTGGATGAGGAGACCGGGGGACGAGCGGGGTGCCGGGGCACGGGGGAGGGAGAGGAGAAGATACCGGGGAGGAGCCAGGGTGACATGGGACGTTATCAGGGGCCCTCAGGATCTGCTGCTGGGGCGGAGGGGCCCCCAGGAGGGTGACGGGGCCACTCAGGGCGGGAATGGGGGGGCTGAGGAAGAGGACGAGGTCAGGGACCTGCAGGAGGTGATGATGAGTGATGAGCGCAGTCCGAGGTCCTCAGCACGGGGCTCTATGGAGACAATCAGCACCTGCATAGGCCGTAGCGGGTCCCAGCAGGAGGAGAGGACTCCTCAGGGGCTGAGCAGGAGCTGCACCAGTGAGGGGAGGTATTGGGGAAAGGGCAGTGATCAGGGGAGCTCCCTGGATGGGGAAGGGGGGTGTAGGGATCAGGACCCCCAGGACATGACCAGGGACTGTAGGCTGGGGGACATTAGCCATGGAAGTCAGCCTGATGGGGAGAGAGCTCCTGAGAGGGAAGACATGGACCCCCCTAAGGCTCTGCAGTGTAGGAGCCATGCCATAAAGGTGAAGGAGCACCAGGCATTGGTCCATGGCACAGATCATAGAGACCAGGAGGAAGCAGACAGGAGCCCCCTGGATATGCAGGTATTGCAGAAAAGGCAAAGGAAGAACAAGGGAGGTAAAGAAAAGAAGAGAAGCCGAGCTAATGGGACGTGCAGGGAGCAGAGCCAGCCAGATTTTGACCAGAGAATGGAGGAAAGTAGCTTCCAGGAGCTGTATAGGGGGCTGAGTGTGGAGGAGGAGGAGGATAGCCAGACAGATGGTGGAGGAGAAGGAACCATCGAAGGAAGTCCTCCATGTCTTCTGGGCAGTTGTAGGACAGCAACATTCATGAGGCTTCCAGAGAAAGATCTTAGACCAGGTGATACAGTGACTGAAGTTAGTTGGAGCAAAGCAATACCGCAAGGCTGTGAAGGACAGGGGTCCAGGGAGGCACTCTTCTCTCCAAAGGACAAGAATGTTCTTCTGGAGGTAATGAAGAGCCATAGAGATGATGTTCTGGAGAGCAAAGCAGATTATAGGGGATCTTCTGAATTCTATAGTTGCTACCGTTCAGAATTCAGGAGTCCTGGGAATGGTTCCAGCGGGTCTGGAGAAGGAGCAGAAATGGAACAGAGCAATTATCATCGTCCTTGCAGAGAGGTTTCCTATGATCTAGGAAAGTATGAAAGGGTCTGGAACTGTGAGATGGAGGACAAGAACTTCAACCCTTTAAGCAACCAGCATATCGAGCCGGAGACATTGATTGGCTCCTCGCCTTCTCTCGATAAGCCATTAAATGTTGAGGATAGCAGGAACCTAGAGGACGTTGGCACGTGGTGTTGGTGCTTACATCTGTATTTAGGGGACAAAAAAGCCACCACTCATGGCGAAAATGATATCGTGAATGATGGGGACAGGTCCAAAGAGTCTGGTTATTCTGTAAGCAGCACTCTTCGTGTGGGGGAAAGACCAGATGAACATAATAGAAGTGATGGAGAGATCCCTGAACCTCTCACTAAGAAAGGGGGGAGAGTGGCGGACACCCCTGAACTGCAAGAATGGGTGAACTGGTGGCAGGGTTGGGCTGGATCTTGTCGTGCTGTATCTGGCCACCGAAGGGGGACAAAAAGTCAGATTTTAGGATGTCGAGGGGAGGCAAGAGCAGAACGACAGAAACAACAGGATGTGTGGGTTTTAAGGGAATGGACAGGAAGGGAATCTGGGAGAAGGGGAGGAGGGCAGAGAGTTTCAGGAGGTGATGTGTGGGTTCTGAGGAACCAGGAGGCTGGAAAACAGGGTTCTGCATGGCAACTAGATGAGGAGGATGTATGGGTTCCCAGAGAGCCAAGAAAACAAAGAGGGGCATATTTTGTGACAGACAATGCAAAGTGGGGTCCCCACAGTGCAAAACCAGGGGTCTCGGATAAAGGGGAGTCGTGAGAAAGGGTGGTGATATACCTCAGCAGTTGGGGGAGGCACTAAACTGTTATGTGTGCGTGTTGTGTGTGTCTGTGTTTCAGTGGGCTGGGGTGGGGGAGGGTGTCAGGGGAAATTACTTGTTAATCTGTCACCTTGTGGGGGGAATAAGACACTTTGGGGTGCACTTTGACTCACTGCAATAAACTGATTACTGGTGCTGCTTTCCTATTTCTATTTAAGGTGCTAAATCCAGGTGCTATAAGGAGGTGCTGTATACTGCATGCTGATGTTTTTTATCATGTGTTTGGGGTTATGAAAATATTTTCCCTTTTTAAAAGGGTCCCCAACACAGGAAGGGGCACATCAGGGCTGTGCGGAGTGCTTTAAATGGGGCAGGGAGGGAATTATTTTGATAAACTAAATTGGTGCTGTTGCTTTTTTTGGCAACACATGAAATCTACCTGTTTTACTCTCTGAACAGAGCCAACAATCAAGGTAAGTGTCATCAGCTGTATAAAACTGGCGACAGTAAATTCCCTTGCGTGGTGCATTTTGTCATCTCTATCGTGAAAGAGAAGATCCCACTAACACATTTGTTCAGCACTATTTTATGTCGCAGTATCTGCACTTCCATGTCGGCAGAGGGCAGCAATGCTAACACTAGCCTGTGATTTGTATGACATTAATTTTTTCCTTATCGGAGGTGATAACCATGAAAAGACATCTCTGCAAATATTTCCTATTATGCAGTTCTTGTTCCCTGCTTCTTACCCAGGGTTTGCTGCATGCCCGTTTTCCACAGTAATCTGTACCCGTAGCATTGTGAATGAGTATATGTGCCCTCTTAATCATTTACATTTGTGTGCTCACATCCTTGTGGTTAAGCATGTCATGTGTCCCCATCATTGTGAAATTCTAGAACTAGCTGTCATTCTTATTAATGTTGTTTTTTTTTGTTTTTATTTTCTTCAATCTTTGCAGGGCATAGAACTGTGTGTGACTTTTAACTGCAGGGGGCTCATCTTGCCGCAGTCATGAACACCATGTTACTTACACCTTTGTGGTGCCTACTTCTTATCTCCCTGCTACCCCCAGCTTTTTGTAAAGAAGGCAGCAAGAAGTTACAAATTGGGGTGAAGAAAAGAGTGGAAAATTGTCCCATTAAATCTCGTAAAGGGGACACCCTCAACATGCATTACACAGTAAGTACTTTGATTTGGGGGTTTATTAGGAATTTGTTTAGAAAAATTTAAATATATCAATGTCAGTATTACCTGTACAAGCCAGTATATGCAGAATAGAATTTATGTACACACACTTTTTAATCAGAGTATAGCATCCAGTCAGTTAAACTCCTGGGATAATGATCTGGTTAGTTAAGTAGCAGAGGGGGTTAATCAGTTTCAGCTGCTTTTGGTTTTAATGAAATTAACAGGTGTGCTAGATGGACAACAATGAGGCGAGCCCCAAAACAGGAATGGTTTTACAGGTGGAGGCCACTGACATCATTTTTTTTAATCCTACACCATCTTTTCTGACTGTTTTTCACTTTTGACTAGGGTCAGTATCCCTACTGGTAGCATGAGGTGATACCTGGATCCTACAGAGGTTGCACAGTCTTAAGAGCATGGAGGAGATTCCCAAAAACAGGCACTTGCTCTAGGAGAGCTGGACAGGGTCTTAGAAGGTCCTTAACCCATCAGCAGGACCAGTATCTGCTCCTTTTTGTACAAGGAGGAGCAGGTTGAGCACTATCTGAGCCCTAAAAAATGACCTCCAGTAGGCCACTAGTGTGAATGTCTCTGGGTAAATAATCAGAAACAGACTTCATGAGGGTGGCCTGAGGGTCCAACGTCCTGTAGTGGGCCCTGTTCTCACTGCCCGGCACCATAGAGTTCGATTGGCATTTGCAATTGAACACCAGAATTGGTAGGACCGCCACCCTGTGCTTTTCACAGATGAGAGCAGGTTCACCCTGAACACATGTGAAAGGGTCTGGGGAAGCCGTGGAGAATGTTATGCTGCCTCTAACATCATTCAGCGTGACCATTTTGGTGGTGGGTCAGTGATGGTCTGAGGAGGTATATCCATGGAGGGATGCACAGACCTCTACAGGCTAGACAATGGCACCCGGACTGCCATTAGGTGTTGGAATGAAATCCTTAGACCTATTGTCAGACCCTACTCTGGTGCAGTGGGTCCTGGGTTCCTCCTGTTGCACAACAGTGCCCGGCCTCATGTGGTGAGGGTATGTAGGCAGTTCCTGGAGGATGAAGGAATTGATACCATTAAATGGCCCTCTCGCTCACCTGATCTAAATCCAATAGAAGACCTCTGGGATATCATGTTTCAGTCCATCCGACACCACCAGGTTGCACCTCAGACTGTCCAGGAGCATAGTGAAGCCCTGGTCCAGATCTGGGTGGACATCTTCCGTTGTCTGATTAGCAACATGCCCCAACATTGTCAGGCATGCATACAAGCACGTGGGGGCCATACAAACTACTGAGTACCATTTTGAGTTGCTGCAATGAAATTTCTGCAAAATGGACTAACCTGCTGCATAATTTTTTCACTGATTTCCATCAAACGATGGGGCATCCTTATGTTCCGAACACATTACCCCATCCATATTAGTATAGATATCCAGGATGATATTTTTCCCCATTGAGATCTAATGTGTTTTCAAAGTGTTCATTTAATTATTTATGAGGTGTGTGTGTGTGTGTGTGTGTGTGTGTGTGTGTGTGTGTGTGTTGTCAGTCAGTCACACACATCCATGAGAAAATGTTCCCTGGTGAGTAGCAAAACCTGTAGTACATATAGTCTTAGAGCTGCTGATGGACAGGTGTATGTGGAAGTGGCACTCAGCACCTTGAGAGATGAACGCACAAGCTTGTGCCTTGTTGAAATAAAATCTTTGCTTTGCGTTCACCTCTCAAGCCCCATAAGTATCACTCTCTCTTTTGGAATATATAGATACAACTGTCCACCACCAGCTCTAAGACTGCGAACAGAATGATCACATAACTGCTGATCTCTCAGTTTTCAGTGAGCAGTGACTTGACAGTCACCTGCTCTCTGCTCTGCACAGTCCAGCGCTCACTCGAGTGCTGGGCTGTGAAGGGGCAGGAGTGACTGGCTCAGGCTCTGAACTGTGCACTGAGGGGCTGAGCCAGCTGCTGGACAGGCATCTGAGTGGATCCCTCTAGAACCTAGACCGGCTCTGTGAAGTCAGTCGATAGCGGGCTTCATCTGAATCTGAGTCACAGGAGTGCAGGAATAAGTGCACTTCTATGACACGCATAAGAAGTATGGCCAAAAAAGCTTTTTTTTCAACAATTGGTTTTATTAAAAAAAAATAAAAAATGATAGCAGCAGATAGTGGATGACATAAGCTATCAGCACTAAGCTTTTAATTTAAGAACCTTCAGCGCCTGTAGAGCCTCACAAATAAGCCTGCTGGTATGTCACTTGGGCATCGGGTGTTTACATTATGCTATGGAAGCAAGAGGACAAAGGAAAACGTGGGGGACTCTGTGTGGCCTTGGCCTTGAAGCTTCTGCAAAAACAGGCTTGGGCTGAGGACTTCTGCTGTTGGATACCTGGTTCTGCCAGGTTTTTACTTATGTACCTGTCTGCGTCAAGGTTATGGAATAGTTTTCACAGTTCCCAGCTGCAAGACAGCTTAAGTATATATCCGAACTAGAAGCTTCTACAAATAGAGCAGGGAAAGATACATTAAACAACACTGTGTATTCCCTTTTTTATTTTATTTATTCTGATGAATGGAAAATTCTGGAGAAGGTGTAATGTTCAGAGGGTCATACTGAAGTGTTGACTTGGGACAGATGAGAACAGTGTAGCATCTGTAGCTGATCAACATTGACAATGGAACTATACTGGAAAGGTGTCACTTCCTAGTGTTTAACATGCTGGATACTACTACTGCACACATTACACTGTTCAACAGGTAAAAAGTTTTGGGCATAAAATTAGCTAATCTTACATAATTTTGGGGTGCTGAAAACGAAAATGACCCTAAAAAATGTTGATTGGCTCTAGTTTCCATGATATATTCACCCATCTAATGACGTAAGCCATTCAAAATTATGATGCAACTTCAGCTGCATATTGCGCAATTGATACTGGTGACCAATAGAAAATTGCATGTATACTGAGATGATGCAATATTAGCCTTTAATTGCATCACTTCACTGCATAAAAGCTGCAGTATCTGTAGCTGATTGTAGTTCGACAGCGTCTTTACATTTCGTTTTATGCTTATATAGGCTACTCAGTAATGCCTCGAACTTGTGTGAATAAAGCGGATAATTTCTGCTATATCTGCGGTGAAATAACTTTTATCTCACAAAAAAGGAGGATAACAGGAATGATTAAGAAAGCCTACAACTTGTATTTTGGCTGCAAGATAGGAGACCAGGACAAGAGCTGGGCACCACATATATGCTGCAATTCTTGTGGGACGGCACTGGAGCAATGGTTGAATGGAAAAAAAGGCATCTATGCCTTTCGCTGTGCCAATGATTTGGAGAGAGCCAACAGATCATGTTAGTAATTGTTACTTTTGTATGGTGCCTCCAATTGTAAAAGGGCTAAATAAGAAGAAAAAGTTATCTGTGCACTATCCAAATATTCCATCGACAATACGTCCAGTTCCTCATGGAGAGGGGCTACCAATTCCTAAAGCAATCCTTCATGGTTGAGTCAAGTGAGGAAGAACCTGAAGCGTGTAGTCACGTGCAGTTGTAAGAGATAGCCCTTTCCTCGAATACAAGAGAAAAGCCAAGAGAAGCAAAACCGACACAAACTGAAGACAAAACTTGTGAGAATCCTAAGTATTAAAATGATTCAACTTAGCTTATGGCTATAATTTTTCTTGGTAATCCTATGCAATATATTATGCCATTTAGGCTTTGTTATGTAGTCAATATCACTTGCTTTATATTTGTGGAAAGACATCTATCTATATAATTATTGTGCATTATGTAGTCATTACGCCTATAGTAGAAAACTTTCCGTTTACAGAAAAACTAGAGCCAATTGACAAATTTCATTGTTATATTTGAACTCAGAATGTGAAATTCATTAAGAAATGGATCCTTTTGTTTCCAAAACTGGCAAAAAATAAAAATTTGTTGAACAGTGTTATTATCACATTAAATGTGGGGAAGAGAAACATTACAAAAGAATGTTGTGTTAAAAAATTCATGAAAAAGGGATGCTTGTGTTCTGTCTAGCATGACCGCAAAATGTGTAAGGAGAATGGTTGGTTAGTTTGTGCGCAAAGACAAGAAGGATGGAAACCTAATTACAGGAAGCATCTCTAAGCAAATTTATATAACCAACTACAGACTTCTTAAGACTGCAGTTGTTAAAGCAGGTCTTTACCCATAACCGTTTGGTAACAATGAATGTTCTTTAACAAAAGAACATACATTCCACATTAATTATGCTACCAAAATTTGTGTGATGTAAACTGGCTTCAGCATTGCTCCGATTTTGTCTTGCTGGAGGCCACCATTTTGTTGAAGCCCAGAGCACTCGCTTCCTTATTGGAAACTCTACCTCTCTCCTTGGTCTCTGAAACTGTCATTTACTGATAAAAATATGTACAGTATGAACATATGCTGAACAGTATGCTGAAGTTCACAGGCTGCCCATGAGAGAGAGAGAGAGGAGAAAATATCAGTGAGATAAGACCCTATCCTTGTAAGTTTAACTCCTCTGCAGGGTGGATTTGATTTAAATCAAACTGATTTAAATCACTAGTCAGTAAGGCCTGATTTAAATCCTAGTTTTCTACATAAAGACTAATTCTTGCTGGTATAACTTTAATATGCAAGTAGATGAAGATTTTTAGAATAACTTTTCATATTAGTTTTTTTTATCCCCAGTTTAATAGGTTAATCATTCATATTTGGAGAAGGAGAAAAATAATCATTACATTAATAATAACAATTTAAATAGATTTATTCAACTGAAACAATAACATTCCAGCATATGGTATTTGCTTAAACAAACATCCATGTTTGGTAACTAATTTGGCTAAACAAAATATATATATTTTAAGAAACTTAGACTGTCAGCCCCTTCCTCCTCACACTTAGTTTCACTTTCTTGTGCAGATCTATTCCACTCCAAACAATCAGAAAAATATTGTTTCTATTCTATTCACTGAACTTCTTGAAACGTAGCACTGAAGGGGTTGATTCTGTATTCATAGGTTTGTAGAAGTTAGGATAAAGGTCTTTTTCTTAACTCTGTTCATGTTATAACATTTTTGCTGTGAAGAAGAGGCATGTGATCTCCGCTGAGTCAAATTCAGTTTTGAGAACTGCAAAGTAAACCAAGCATCTGTGATAATATCTTGTAGGCAGAGAAACTGCCCAATAATCTCACAAAAACCTCTGGAAGAGCATGACATTGTGAATGGATTAATGGAATTTATCAAAAAAATTAAACATATACAGCCTTATTCTACATAATTAAAAACCTAATCTTTATTTCATGATGGAATAACCTTTGGATGGTAATATATTTTCCTCAAAAAGCATTTTATTTAAAAAAAAATCTGATTTAAATCAAAAAAATCTTTTTTTTTTAAATCATTGATTTTTATCCACACTGCTCCTCTGTCTCCCTGGAATTTGTCCTATCATCTCTCCTGCTTTTCATTTCTCCTTCCCTAATATGTGTTCCCTCTGCACAGTCTGTGTCATTCCTGTTGCTTTCTTCCCCTTCAGCAAAAGTAAATGATAAAGTGGAACTAAATCCTCCTATCCTTTTCAGCCAAGGAAGCTGCCATGCTTGCATCTGTTTGATCTGCAATTACCATGGTGTTGCACATGTGATAAGTTATGACACTAGCCGTTTGATGGGTTGACCATTTGAGAGCCAAAGCAAATGTGACAGCATTTCCAGCATGCTTTGAATAACTGTTTTTTTTTTTTTTTAAGCCATTAAATAAATTAGTTTAGTTCAGTTTTTAAAATCGTCAGCTGATTGGCCTCTAGTGGCCCTGATTGTAGGCACAGTGCTGAGAATAGACAGCAACTGAGCATGTGCAGAGTATGGTGAGATTACTGGATTTTAAGCAGTATAGGCACTTTATTTTTAATGTTTTATTCATCTGTTTTTATCACGGTCATGTGATGGTTAATTTTGTGGGGGTTTATTTCAAGATGTGCAGAGAGAAATCACAAAAATCCAACTATACATAACATTTAAGTAATCACAGATAGCAGTAACAAAATGAATAACCCGTAAGGTATGATATAAATGCCTTTCATCGAGTCCTGCCTGTTTCCAATGAACAAACCAGACGTGTGCATGTGCTCTTATGAGATATTACCTAATTCAAGTTTTGGCTGTGTTAGACAGGAATAATGGGTAGTATTGGCCAGCTGTAACCCTTAGCATTCTTTTAAGGAAAAGAACATACATTCCTGGAAGCTTGGTCAGCATGTGTGCAAAAACACTAGTAAGGACATTTCTGCAGTGTTTGCTCAGCTGATTACAAAACTGTATAACCCCCTCAATCAGGCTTGAATGCATCCTATGTATTTTTAGTGAGCCATTGACAAGGAAAGATTACAATTTCTCATTCGCTCCACCCCTTGGCTCACAAACCTCATAAAGTAAGCTTCCAACTGTAAAGGTAAAGCACTTAGTTTTCATCTGTCATATAGCTGTAGGACTTCATATCTGACTTAAGTTCAACTTTAACCTTCTTAGATCCTGGGTGGCAGTTGAAAGCCTGTTGGGCAGTTTGAGTTTCCTGAACCAATAGCTTAATTTCCCCAAGAAGGTGCCACATTTGGGATATGTATGTTGAGTGCAATATATAACTAGAGGAGGAGTACTGAATTAAAATTCATGGAAGTTCGATTAGTGAAATTTTTCTCCACCTGAGGTCCGAATCGCATATTTGTGTGATCTTTTACATCACAGCCCAACCCCACCCACCTTCTCAAAATCTGAAATGTACATCACTGTCCTTAGCCCTCCAGCATTTACAGTTTTTCCCTTCACAGCAGTGTCCTCTGCCCCCCCCTCATGTCACGCTCACCCCCCCATCCACAATGTTTTTTGGCCCCCTTGTCACATCTCATTGATTTCCCATTTGATGGAGCCAAAACCACTTAGGATAGGCAGCATAACTCCTGGCATCTTCTTGGGGTGGCATTGGGACCACTGCTGTAGGGGAGGCATTCTTCCAACTGACCACCAATGTAAGGGGCATTTTTCCAACTGGCCTCCAATAAATTGGTTTTAGCAGGAGTTCCTTGAGGCCTGGAAATTTTTGCAAGGATTCTACTGGGGTAAAATAAAAGTTTGAAAAAGTCTGCTGTAATCTGTTTTCTCTGTTTTTAGGGGAAGCTGGAAGATGGCACGGAGTTTGATAGCAGCATACCCAGAAATCAACCTTTCACTTTCACTCTAGGCGCTGGACAGGTCATCAAGGGCTGGGACCAAGGTCTGCTAGGGTATGTTGTCTGGCCATGATTTATACTGTTTTGTAATAATTTTGTTGAATTATGTTTATTGTTTAGCAATTAGGGATGCACCGAAATTTCGGTGGCCGAAACGATCCAACCGAAACACCCCTTACGGCCTTCGGCCGAAATGAAAAAAAGCACTGATTCAGGTGCCGAAGAAACCCCGGCCACCCACAGTCGCTGCTGCCGCTGGCCGCCGCTCGGTAGTTCAGCCTTACCTGAGAAACCATCGATCCCGGCGCTGGGCATAGAGATGCGTGAAGGAAAGATGGCTGCCACATATCTCTATGCCCTGGAGGACCGGAGCAATGGCATTTCAAGTACTGGCCTTTTTTTTTTTTTCGTTTTTTAAAGCACTAGATCAATATGTTTTGTTTTTTTTTTTTTTTTTTTGGTTTTTGTTTTGTTTTGTTTTTGTTTTGTTTTGTTTTTTTGATCCAATGCTTTACATTGCAGAGGAGAGAGATGGGGTCTTATTGACCCCATATCTCTCCTTAAAGAGGACCTGTCACTAATTATTTCTATCACAAGGGATGCATGAATTTCTTGTGTTAAGAATAAAAGTGATTTTTTTTTTTTTTTTTAAAGGAACAGTGCAAAAAAAAAAAGACAACATTAAATATATATTTTATTAAAGTTTAAATTGACCCCATCTCCCCATGCTCGCACATATTGGTGAACGCATACTTAGGCCATGCCCACATATGTAAATTGTGTTCAAACCACACAGGTGAGGTATTGCCACTAACGGCCAAGTGAGAGCAATAATTCTCACATCAGACCTCCTCTGTAACTTTACACTGCTAACCTGTAGAAATGTTTAAAGCATCACCCATGGAGATATTTAAGTACCGCAGTTTCACGCCATTCCACGAGCATGCACAATATTAAAGCGTGACATGTTGGGCATCTATTTACTCATCATAACATCCTCTTTCATATTTTACAAAAAAATTGGGGTATAGTTTTTTTTTTTTTTAATCAGGGTATTTTTTTCCAAAAAATATATATTCCTTTTTAAAAACTGTACATTTGGTTTCAGTTTTCGGCCAAGTGCATTTTGAATTTTCAGTTTCGGCACCAGAATTTTTATTTCGGTGCACCACTATTAGCAATGATCCAGCATTAACTGTGGTATTTTACAGAATACATTGAACCCTAAATTAACTTTTATTCTAATGCTGCTATCACAGTCATAGACATTTGCTAAGACCAGTTCAGGTGGGAGCAAGTAAAACTGCCAGCATGTTTCTTGGTTTTGTTGCTATCCACTTTAAATTTTGTGTGACAAAGGTCCCCTTTTCTTGCCATGTGATCTACCATAATGCTGAACTCCAAGAAAAATCTAAAGTATAAATGAACCCTCACCTTGTAAAACCTATTTAGTTTAAAATAGAAATGCAAGGCAAAACATTGTATTTCACAGAAAGGAAGAAATACAAAGAGCAGGATACATTTTAACACAATTGCATGGTATAATAAATGTCTACAGTTGTAATAAAAAGTTTCCCTTAAAGAATTGGGAATGTACAGTATATACCATATTTAAAGAAAACATGAGTTGGCATGCGAAACACATTTCTGGGAAATATGGCAAATGTGAAACAAATTAAATGACCTCTGTTCAAAAGATTGCGTACCCTTAGTTCCTAATACTGTGTTTTTAGACTCAATGATGGGGTGCAGTCTTTTGTAATGGTGGTCTATGAAGCTCCGAATTCTTACAAGTGGTATAGCTGTCCATTCGTTTTGGCAAAATGCCTCCAGGTCATGGAAGTGTTTGATCGTCTTGCATGAACCGCACATTTGAGCTCTCCCCAGAGTGGCTTGATGATATTAAGGTCATGAGACTGATGGCCACTCCAGAACCTTCAACTTTCTGCTGTAACCACTAGAGGGTCAACTTGGCCTTGTGCCTACGGTCATTAAAATGCTGGAAAGTCCAAGAACGTCCCATGAGCAACTTTCATGCAGGAGATTGCAAATTGTCTGTCAGTTTTTTTTTTTTCTGATAACATGCTGCATTCATCAATTTCACAAGATTACCTGTGCCTTTAGAGCTCACACACCCCAAAACATCAGTGGGACACCGCCATGCTTCACATTCGACATGGTGTTCTTATCGCTATAGGCCTTGTTGACCTCTCTCCAAACATAGTGCTTATGGTTGTGACTAAATAAAGTTCTATTTTGGTCTCGTGACCCAAGATTACATTGTGTCAGAAGCTGTGAGGCGTGTTGGGTATATTGTAACAGGGCTTTTTTTTTTCTTTTTGTTTTTCATTGGCGCAGTAAAAGCTTCTGCAACTCAACTATGCAGCTTATTTTTGTTTAAATATGGTCATATTGTGCTCCTTGAAACAAACACACTGTCTTTTTTTTCCAGAGCAGCCTGTATTTCTCCTGAGGTTACCTGTGGGTTTTTCTTTGTATCTCAAACAATTCACCTGGCAGTTGTGGCTGCAATCTTTCTTGGTCTACCAGCCCTTGGATTGTTACCAAGAGATCCATAAATTTTCCACTTTTTAATAAGCAATTGAACAGTACTGACTGGCATATTCAAGGCTTTGGATATCTTTTCATATCCTTTTCCATCTTTATAAAGTTCCATTACCTTGTTACGCAGGTCTTTTGACAGTTTTTGCTCCCCATGGCTCAGTATCTAGCCTTCTCAGTGCATCCACATGAGAGCCAACAAACTCATTCACCACTTATACACAGACACTAATTGCAATTTAAGATGCTAAAGATGTGGGAAATTAACATTTAATTTGACCTGTGTGTGTCACTTTGTATATCTGTACATAGGCCAAACATTCCAGGGTCTGTAAACTTTTGATAAGGGCCATTTAGGTGATTTCTGTTATGTTTTAAAAAGGATCCTAAATTGTATGTGATAATAAAAGGCTTCTTATGATCAGTATCCATAAATAAGACCGTTTTTTGCATGATCAGTCATATTTTCAGTATTGATGCTAACATTTCATGATTTCTGTCAGCGTATACAAGCTTTTTGAGCACATCTGTATCGGGAAAATGGAATGTTCGGGTAACATACACTTCAAGGACTCGAGGAGGAAACAGCGGGTTTTATTGCACTGGTGCAGCCTAAACACTTCTTTTGTGGCAAAGAAGGAACTCACATCTGCTCTTGCTTGATTGCTACACCAGCTTCCTGGAGTCCTTTCTGGTTTAGAGTTGCAAGTAGAAATGTTCCCATTACCTTCCCCTCTTCTATCTTTGTTGACAGAGGAGGAGCCAGCCAAGAAATCAGAAGAAGAGGTGTTAGTGACTTTGACTTTTTTGGAGGATGAGGATGTGGAAAATTCCTCCTTTTTGAGAAATCTATTCCTGAGAAATCCCGGGGTCCAGTATCATCTAAGACCCAAGTAGTATCTTACAGCTGAAGTTTTGGTCAGCTGAGCTAATTTTGTAAGAAGCAGGTTGAACAATTACCTTTTCAAGTGGAACGTTTGTTCGGTCCTGCTTTGGATGATTACTGTGGGCAAGAGTACCCTGTTGCTTAAAAGAAGTCAAATCCTGTGGTACAGTAACATACCACTACTTCTGCTTCTAAAAGCATTCCGTTCGTCAGCTACAAGCCTTTGGCTGTAAACCCATGCCTAAATCCTAGGTCCACAAGAATACATAGATTCCAAAGCCCTCTTGGCAAAGAGAAAAGCCCTCCTCGCAATGAAGTGGCACCCCCACTTACTAAGGTAGGGGGGTAGCTTTGCAGACATATGGCAGAGGAAGATGGGGAAGAATGAGTCCACAATATAGTAGCTTGGGGTAATGAGCACTTTGATTTCATATGTTTCTGTTTTTTTTCCCAAGCTCCTAATCACCTGTTGTCTTAAATGGTGATTGCTCTGGATTTGCAGAATGGGAAGTTGAGGTTTCTACTTGAACCTCTTCATGGTTCGTTCCAGTCTGGATTTCGAGCATCAACAAGTATGTCCAGATAGAAAATTTGTATGAAATCTGCTCAGTCAGTAGTGCCTCCTTCCTGCAGTGGGGCTTTCTGATATCTATGGATTTCAAGGATCGTTATCTACATATGCCAATTATCTAACCCCAGCAACGATCCCTGCATTTTGTGATGTAAGACTGACTGACTTTTTTTTTTTTTTTTTTGGCCCCTCTACTTCGGTCTGTGCACTGCTCTGAGTATTCACCAAAGTATTAACTACGGTCTTGGGGTTCCAACTTACTTGTAATATTACTTTCAAAGGCCACTTGCTAATAAAGGAGCAGTCCGTTCCACTCCTGTAGTTTAATGTGAATCAAATAGTGCAGACCTGGAGAAGTTTGGATGGGTCCTGAACTTTCAAGTCTTCCTTAGTCCCAACCCAGAGGTTGGGACACTTTGGTCTTGATTCTGGACATCAGTGCACACAGTGCAATCAAGAGTGACCATAGCTGAGGACAAATGCCTTATTCTGCAACCTGCTTCAAACTCTTTCTCAGAGTTGTTTCAAGCTCTGAGACACCCCTCTATAAATTTTGCCTATTTTCATTCCAAGCCTCTTCAAATGTCTTATTGCCTTGGTGAAAACTCGGTAATGGGACTCCCCATAGCACCTACTCCCGAAGACTAAACTGTCTCTAGTTTGGTGGATTTCACAAGCTGGAAATAGGAAATTAGTTTTTCCCTCCTGTTCTGAGGGGTCCTAATGACAGATGCCAGCCTTGGGGGTTGGGGTGACATTCTGGACAATCTCTCAGTCCAAGGAACTTGGTTGCCACAGGAGAAATTGTTGCTTGATTCACATCTGGAAATTGAGAGCAATTCAACTTGCCTTCCTATGTTGGTAAATGCAGCTGGAGGACCTCCATGTGAGGGTTCAATCGGACAACCTCATGGCAGTAGCATACATAAATTCTCCAGGAGCGCCAGGAGTTGTAGTTTAAATCAAGAGAGCAGCCAAAAGTGACCATGCTGCTCCTCCATACAGTATGGTGAGTGACTATTGCCGCTCTAGCACAGGAAGCGCAATACTGGTG